AAAAATCTAAAAATCTAAAACAAAAAAATAGTAAACATAATAATTAACTGAAAACTGAACTTGAATAAAAATGAGTCAAATAAAAAAACAAAATAAACTAATTTAAAGTTGTTCACATGTTAATTGAAGGTGTTCGCGGCGCTTAGCGCCGCTAACTATACTAATCCAACTCAGGAACAGTAAGTTAGACCTCAGGTAAGTTGAAGTAGATGACCTCCTAGTCACCATTTTCCCGGGAATATCAAGAAACCTTATAAACTGTAAAGTATAAGTAAGTAAAAAAATGTGCAAATTTGTCACATCCAATAAACTATAAGTAAGTAAATAAATAAGAACTATAAGTAAGTTTCTGTGTTGTTGCGAAAACATTAGATTATTTAAAAAACTTTCTGGGACGCAAAGAGGGATTCCACCAAATTCTTCTATATACGACAACTGTTCAAATGCAGTTCTCCTAGTGAGATTATATATTCTCTTCCTTTTAATCTATTTTTTTATAAAGCATCTTACATCTCAATTAAGAGTGAGCAGTCCTGGTGCACCACGAAATTCTTCCATTTTTGGAATAAATACGGAAATCGGCACTATGTATAAGCTATTTTAGTTATTTTTCAATTAATTGGATTAAGCGAGCTAACAGTGCTTTGAAGGGGATTTGCGCAGGTTCGAATAGTTAATCTGAACCCGTTGCGAATATGCGGGTAGCCTGAGCGAGCTTCGCACTCACGACAGCAGGGGAAGGCTCTGGTACGGCCGAAGCTGTATTGAATTAAACAACGAGGCTCCCTTGCTTGAAAACAGAGCATTATTATGTTTGAATGTGGGCAGTTAATTTAGAGTCCACAAGATGAATACCAGTTACATTTACTAAATAAGGGTGTTTGGCAGCTTTGAATTTTGATCTTGATTAGCATTAGGTATTTGCCCTTATGGGACTCAAGGCTATGGTTAGACTTAGGATTGATGTTAGAAGTTAGGCTATTGGCACCCTTTATTTATGTTCGAGAGTTGAAATTGAGGATAGGGTGCATTGGGGTCGGCATTAGGGTTGAGTATGTAAAGTTATGGTTTGAGGGTAAGAGATAGGGTTTGTATTCTATGCTTTCAAGTATCAGTATCAGTTTATTGAGGGAAAGATAGGCGAACACCTTCAGGCACCATATTGGTAACAAGATGCTATAAAATATGTGGTACAAAGAAAAAAATGAAAAAAAGTACATAAATTACATGTTTGCAAGTGAAAACATAACGGTTGTTGGTTATTCGAAATAGTAATAAAACATTACTACTCGTTTAGCACTAGTAGTATAATAAACACATGGTGTTTGCGTGTCCGTGTCTGCCCCTTGGATTTGCATGTGAATGGTGAATGAGGTGTTTGGGGCATGTTCGGTTTGCTCTTAAATGTATTAACGCAGATAGAGGGGACAACTTCTTCGGAAAGTGCGTACTACACTGCAACTACTCTGTTACTGGATAAACAATTATGTGCATCGATCCTTGCTTTGCCGGAATGTAGTTTTAGGGGATGACCGCGCAATCGGACATATTATTCTTGGGAAAAGAAGAATCGGGGACAAAACAACAATTCAGGTCATTCAGAATACAGAAGTTTAGTATGAGATCCCCTCGAAGTAGGAAAGGGGATAGGTTGCGAGTTGACAGGCTGCTTTCA